GGCCTGTCTGCTCTCCAGCCCCAGCTCTGTTTCCGTAGTGACCGCTGCTTTGTCATTAGAGTTAATCAGCATTAGCTCAGTGCATCAGCTGCACAGAAAAACTTGTGTCATGTGCTTTTACTGTTTTTTTTGTTTGTTTGTTTTTTTCTATGCTTTTACTGTTCTGTGAAATGTAGTTGCTTCCAGGGCCAATGCTGAAAAAAATGTGAGTAAAGTAAATATATAGTTGTTAACTTTTCTAAATTAGCAAAATACAGTTGTTGACCTGAAAGTGTAGTTTAAATTACAGTTATCTTTTGATTGGATTTGTAGCCACGTTTAGCCGAAGTTAGGATAGTATGGAATGTGAGGACTTGAAGGCCTTTGTGTTTAGTCTTTGTCTCTTACTTATTTGGTGGGATTTTCCCACTCTCCTCCCCTTGGTGGTACTTTTAGAAAATGATGTTGAGTAGAAGTGGTGAGGACTGAATAGACACCCTTGCCTTGATCCAGTTCTTAAAGCAACAGGGTTCATCTTTCCCATTGGTGTGGTGTCAGCTGTCCGTGTTTCTGAAGATGCCCTCTAAGTTGAGGACGTTCCCCTTTGCTCTTGGTTTCCTGAGGATTTTTGTCAGGAACAGATGTTGGATTTTGTTAGATGCTTTTTCTGCATCAGCTGATATGACCATGCGCTTTGCCTTCTTCTGACTGTTAACAGGTTGGATTCCCTTCAGGGCTGGGACACTTGTGCACTTCTGGTCCTAAGTAAACTGGTGGCCTTCCTGGTCCTTAAGTTCTGCCTTTTAACTGAACCCAAAATTTACATAACAAATCCGTTTATTAAAAGGGATGTAGCAGAGAGAGACTAAGCTTTTCTTGCCTCCTTTGATGCTTAGAAAAGAATGGTCTTGAAATCAGAAGGCCACTGCTTCCCCCTAACCTGTAGGGCTAGGGAATGGGAAAATGGAGAAAAGAGGGAAAAAATGCAATATGAAGCGAGGGGGCCAGGTAAGGTGGCTCACACTTATAATCCTAGCACTTTGGGAAGCTGAGGCAGGAAGATTGCTTGGTGCTAAGAGTTGGCAACCAGCCTGAGCAAAATAGTGAGACTTCATCTCTACATAAAATAGAAAAATCAGCCAGGTGTGGTGGGAACCTAGTTTCAGCTACTCAGGAGGCTGAGGCAGGAGGACAACTTGAGCCCAGAGTTTGAGGTTTCAGGGAGCTGTGATGAGGTCATTGCACTTTAGCCCAGGCAACAGAGGAAGCCCCTGTTGGGCTAGTACGGGGTAGGAAAGTGGAACAGGATATTTTCCCTACTCCACAGGCTCCATTTGTTTATGTGTTCAATTCTGTGACTCAATTCTGTGAGTCCAGGATGAGAGATGATGGAGAGAAAAAGTGGTGAACTCATTTTTGCTTTGGTGATGATAATGAATTTGGTACTTCTCCAAATCTGTCAGCTACTATTTACTTTTTATAGTCTTAAAAGACTACTCCATTTATTTGGTCCCTATCTAATAGCTACAGTCAGTAGGGGAGACAGGGTGGAGTGTTCTCACCAAGTCTCACCTGAAATTAACTGTTCTTTTTTCTTTTTTTTTCTGAGACAGAGTCTCACTTTGTTACCCTGGGTAGAGAGCTGTAGTGTCACAGCTCACAGCAACCTCAAACTCTTAGGCTCAAGAAATCCTCCTGCCTTTGCCTCTCAAGTAGCTGGGACTACAGGCACCTGCCACAACAACCAGCCTTTTTTAGAGACAGGGTCTTACCCTGGCTCAGGCTGGTGTATTTTTCTTTTTTAACAATCTACAGGCATTATTCAGTTGACTTTCTGACTTGTAAATCTTTACAGTTGAAGGATTTAACCTAATTTGAGGTCAGATGATAAATTTAGGTATTGTGATACTTAATATTTTCTATATACATAGAAGCAGTAACTGCTATAAGTATGTAATTTTAAATTATAAGAATATTTTTAACTGATAAACTAATACTAAGAATTTAGCTCTTTGTCCATATTTTTTGTTAACACTATTGCTTTGAAATTGTGTTTGAAATTTCAAGTGTAAACAATGGGAGTGTGCAATAGGAGGCCTGTGTGCCCAGCAGGTGTCTGGTCTGGTCTGGAGGCTGGGATGTGACCTGGAATCAGAGCAGATGTGGACCTGGGAGTATCTTAGAAAGGTGAAGCTGTGGCAGCGTGTAAAGTTAGTTAAAAAAAACAGAATATTAGGAAATGGTCACATTGCACAGAAGAGAAGGAAGAGAGTGAGCTGCTTAGAGAAGCAGAGAGTGTGTAGCCTTGAGCACCTGGGGTCCAGGACCGGAGGTGGGGCAGGCACCACAGTGCAGTGTGATGAGAACCTTGGAGAACTGTTTCAATCTCAGCTAGTGAGGAGATACAGGAAAAAGCAGTAGGAATATCATTCCCACTAAATATACAAAATAATAACAAGTCTGTACACATTTTAACTCTATTTGATTTTAACTTTCTGGACCATAGCTGTCCTGCACCTGGTAAATGTCCGGTTTGGACTTCCCCTGGTGAGTGACCCCAGTGGCCAGCAGTGTCCAGGCCCAACTCTGGGTAAGGACTTGCAGCGGTGGCGGGTGAAGCTGGCAGAGGCCCAAATGTTCTATATTTAAGTTGTTGTCCATTGTTTTTGTCTATAATGGAGACTGATTTGTTCTCCTATTTAATTTACTCTTTATAGCTTTTATAGCTTATCCATTTTCAAAACCAACTTTGAGGTAGCTTACACATAACTAGGGCAAAATATAAAAGCATATCCGCAGGGTGTCTTCCCTCAGACAACAAACTTTTTTTTTTTAATTAAAGAACTAAAAGGGCCAGGTGTGTGGGCTCAAACCTATAATCCTAACCCTCTGGGAGGCTGAGGCAGAAGCATCACAGGAGATCAGGCGTTCCAGACAAACCAGAGTGAGAGCAAGACCCCATCTTTACCAAAAATGGAGAAAATAAGCCAGGCCCATTGGTGTGTAGTCCAGGTACTCAGGAGTGAAGCAGGAGGATCACTTAAGCCCTGGAGTTTCAGCTGTGACACCACTGTCCTCTATCCTGGGTGACAGACTAAAACCCTATCCCCCCAAAATAAAGAAAACCAAGAAACTAAGAGATATCTCACTAATGTGGTTTTTTGCTATTTTTTGGAAGGGAGGGTATAATCTGTCCTCTGAGCTACCCAATGCTCTGTTTGTCTGTTACTTTAACTTGTTTTTCTTTATTGCTTTAGGGGCAAATACTAAGTACTCCATTCAATATTTATTTTAAATGAAGAATTGCTGCTTCTTAAACTTGCATTGTCCTTATATATTTTTTTTCTTTCTCTAGGATCAGAATTCAGGCTGTAAATGAAATTGGAGCTGGACCATTTAGTCAGTTCATTAAAGCAAAAACTCGGCCATTACCCCCCTTGCCTCCTAGGCTAGAATGTGCTGCAGCTGGTCCTCAGAGCCTGAAGCTAAAGTGGGGCGACAGTAACTCCAAGACACAGGCCGCAGACGCCATGGTGTACACCCTGCAGCTGGAGGACAGGAACAAGAGGTGGGTGCTCGGCTGCGCCGGCTTATGGGGTAAAGCCTTCCCTGCTCATTCTTTCCTTCTCCTTCTTAATTAGTTGCTTTAAAATGCTCTTCCTTCTCGTTGAAATACTTCCCATGTATCTGAGTATGGCATTTTATAACCCCAAGTTGTACGCTCTATTCTCTGTTTTTTTTCTAAACATTCTAAAGATGCTGATTTTCCTGCATGTAGTAATAGTCTTTTTTTTCCCTTCTATAAAGCCAGATAATGGAGAGAAATTATCTAAAAAGGAAATTGTCCAGTTCAAGCCTCACGGTTTAGTATCTTTATGTCAGTCATACATACAGAGGGAAACAAGACTCGGGAAGAGATGCTGGCTCTTTAAATATTCAGTGACCACTGGGACAAAGCTGTTTACCATCCAAAATGGCTGTGGGTGACGTGCAGCTGGGGTTGCACTCTGTAACTATGGGCAGTGTAATATCAAATTAACTTGAGTAAATAGGAGATTCTTTCTAAGACTCCATGCCCAGGAAACACTCTTGGCTGTAGAAATCAAATCCAGCCTTTCACATAGTATTTGTTTAATCTAACTTCATTTCCTCTGAAAATGGCCAATCAGAAGACAGGCAGCCAAACTGTATTTAGAAATCAGATGTCAAGCAAAAGTTAATGGTGATAGAACATTCTGTTACCACGAGTCCTGATCACAGAATCAGGTGCAGGGGCTGGGAGATGACCATAAACCAAGATAGCCATCTCAGCTCGCTGCACTTCCCTGCCCTATCCCCCTTCCCTTCACTGTTCCCTTCCCTTCCCCTTTCCCTGCTTCCTTCTCCTCCTTCTGAAGCACAAAGCCAGTGCTGCTGGGAACACTTTGTGTCATTTTCTTTTGTGCACTATAGTGTTCTGTTCCTTTACCAGACTCCTTACTCAGAACCACACCCTCCACCCCAACCCTGTAGTAGAACACCTGGATTGGTTTTGGTGCAGTGAAGACCTGTGGGCAGTGGAGACAAAGGTCAGGCAAAACACAGGCCTGGCCCCAGAAGCCAGGGAGCCATGGGAGAAAAGTGCTCTGGAGTTTGGAGGAGGCAGAGACCATCTGGTTGCAAAGATCAGGAAAGATTTTTAAAGGCAGTGATATTTGAGCTGGACTTTAGAGGACCTAGCAAACCTGATAGGGCAACAGCAGAAGAACAGAAGTGATTGTCCTACTGGAAATTAGTCCAAAAGTAGAAAACAGAGAAAGTAAGGCTCCTTGGGTAGCTGTATTAGAGATTAAATTCAGACACATCCGGGATCATTCATCTTCTTGGGCTCATTATTTCTATTTTCACAGTCTCTATTATTTTACTGTTAGAGAATTGTTCAACCAAAGAGGGGAGGCAAGAACAGGAGCTATGAACTGTAGAAATCACAGTAAACAGACAGCCTAGTGGGGAAAGTTCTCTAATTAGCCCTTTTATTTTTTTCAGGGCTCCTGTTTTCCATTGGTAGTAGAGAGAACCTTTCTTAGAGAGTATCTTCTAGTTGTACTGTTTTAGAAAAAAACAAAGCATAGAAAAGTTGTTGGAGCCAGTAGTGGGGTTAGAGCCCAACTCAAGGCTGCCTCTCCCGTGCCTGCAGAGCTGTGGGGCGTGACCACCTTGCCCCAAGGCAGACTCCCCCATCCTGCTTAAGTCCTGTGCTGTGGGGAACAACCACCTCATTTTGGACAACTGTACCGAGGCTTAGTCTGATCCAGCGTTGCAAGTCTCACAGAGGCTGAGCCCAGAACCAAAACTCCACAAGCACTTTTCCAAATGAGTGTACTGTTATGAGACATTTAAATATGGCAGACAGAAAGCAGTACAAAATCTAATCAATACATGCTGTCCTGCCAAAACAAAAACAAAGGTTCTCCTAAGTTAATCAAATAAATAACTTGCCTTAATTTTATGAGCTAGAGTCCAAAAATTTATCTTTTTTAAATTAGATCTGTCAGTGCTCTCAGAAAGTTATTAAAATGATGGAATATAGAACATAATGAATTCTTATTCTATTTGTGGAATAATTTTCCCAGGACTTAATAGAATGAAAACAACCCAATTTCAGTTTGAAGATGGCCTTCCTTAGTGTCCCAAGGGGGAACTATTGCAGTGAGTGGCCTCTGCGTCTAAGCCTTAGACTCATGTCTCAGCCTGGCCTCTACCCTTGAAAGGTGCAGGGTCGCCTTCCCAAGTGGCTGCTCTTTTTCACTGAACTTGTTATTAGAGGAGTTTCTTATCGTGGCTCTTGGGGAAAGTACACATATTCTTTCACATATGCATTAATGTCATTAGCTAGCCAAAAGTTCTTTTTATGAATGTGGATAAAAACGTATATATCCTGTTTGTGGCCAAAGTGAGAACCACAGATAGAAGATACAAAGTGTAGGAGGATAATGGAAGAACAGCATCTGAGACAGGCTTGAAACTAAACCAACAGAGAAGGCTTCTTAGAGAATGTGGGTGAGCGAAAAGGATCTTGTTGTGGTAACCTCAGTCCTACAAAAGCCTTAGAATGGAAAATAGTGACAGGGCTCAGGACTGCATAGAAACTGTGGATAAAATCTCCAAAGCACACAATAGTGCCTGGTTCTTTCTCCAAGTCACTAGTTCTTTCTATTTTGGTGTTTTGAGACCTGGTCTTTTTTTTTAGTTTGTGCCCATTTCTTGTAAATAGAAGGAATGCCAAACCCCTCTTGCCAAAACCCTCACCTCACGGTAAATGAAGCTGGAATTCATCCAGATTGCCTCAACTTGCTATGTTGAAAGTCTTTTTCCCTTGAACAGGACATTTGCTTCCCATGTGTTTGAGCTCTTGACCTTTGGGGGTCTAAGTCCAGATTTATTTACCAGCCCTAAAGCAGTGCTTCATGTTCACGGTACAGGAGCTCAGTTTCCACCAGTGGTCAGGTTATGTCACTCCCTTGCCAGTTTTTCTTCAATTACTACTCTGTGCCAGGCTTTCTGTAGTCTGTAGCAGATCTATCAGAGCTTGTCTTGCTTAGGAAATAAATTAACATAAGATGATGATGAGCAGACCATATAAGAGATTTAATTTCAACAGAAAAACAAAAATTAAATTATTTTAGCTGAGAGTGATTTGGGCCATTCTTAACAGATCCAGCACAGAGGCCTTCCCATGTGAGGAGGACGAGCATACCCCAAAGTAAACATTTTCATAATGTACCTAACCTAATTCAGGCTGCGGGAACAGGCGCAGCGCTGCAAGTGCATTTGAAGACTTGTTTGTGTCACTGAGACGAAATGTGCTTACAGAACTGGAGTTGATGTTGGTCCTGGTCTTGACCCTCGCGGTCCACATCCCCAGTAATTGCACACAGCACTGTGCAGGGAGGACACAGTTTCTGGAAATGCACTTGGGCTCATCCACTGCCCAAGTGGCCGGATGCCACACTGTTAAGGCGAGGCCTCAGGGGAGAGGGCCGGAGGGGTGCTCATTCCATTAACTCAGCCCTTGTCCTCTGATGCTTTTCCCTTCAGCCAGCAAAGTTGTGGGGCTTCCTCATGTTTTCAGAGTGACTGCACATTGGCCATTACAGAAAAACAGAAAATAATCTGCGTCCAGAAGCCCTGATGATACAGGGGCAAGGCCTGCACATAGGCCAGGGAGGGGCATCTCTGCTGCTGCTAGGGGACTAGGAGGCCATCAGTGTGGACCCCCCCAGGGGACCCTTGAGCTTGTCTCCTGCTCTGACTAGTCTCCAAGCTTTGTGTACTAAGTGGTATTTTTAGGGTACCTTGTGGTTCTTGTGGGGAGTGTCAAATCTCTTTGTGATCCCAGATATGTCACTGACTTTCTATTACTGGAAGCACATGCTTTCTCTTGTCTTAGTTTCTCCCACTATAAGATGCAATAATGATGCCTGTCTCTCCTCCCTAATTGACAGAAAAAATTTATCTTGGACACATTTTTTCAGCTTATAAAATGAAGAGTATTGTTAGCTTAGTCAATTTTAGGCTAAAATGTCTAAGCACAAAGGTGAGAGGTGGTAAATGAACTGCAGTAGAATCTGCAAGTTGACCAGCCACAGGGCTATAACAAGCTGTGCAGTATATGGGGGTGGTTGACATAAGGAACTAGGTCTACTGTACTCCTGTGCACGTGTGTGTGTCCGGTTTGTGACAATTAGGTCAACTTAAGGAGGTGGTCAACTACGGAGGCTTTACTCTATTTGAGATCTTAATAATACCAGAAGTAGAGTTCAAATTAGTTTTGCTTGTCACTTATTAAAAAAATAAATAACAGATGCAATTGGCTATCCTTTTCCTTAGGTTGAGGCAAGGCCACTAAAATAGTAGGGAAGCAGAAATTTGAAAACTGTACATATGAAAGCAAAAAACAAGAATGGGACATTTCAAGGTTCTCAGGTGGTCTTTAGACATTCTAACCATCCTTTCTTGGAGTATAAATCAATCTCTGATGTATCTCTAAAGTACACTTTAAACAATAACAAAATTGAATTTTTTTTATTCCTTTATTCTTAGTGAAAAGTTTCCACGGTCAGTAGCTGTAATAAAATTTTATTTCTTAGAAAAGGACCATAAAAAGTTCAACCCATTAATGAAAAAGAATTGCAGCTCACACATCATGGGTCCATCTATAGCCAGGCACATAGGGCAGGAAATTAGCTGCTTTACTCATCAGTCTTTCAGAAATAGCTCTTGACATTTTCATGCTCAATCTGTAAATAGGGACTCTCACCAATGTCAGAATCAGTTTATGGAGCACAGCCTTGCCTTCTCTGTGTACCCATGATGCTGTCGGTTTTCATCTGTTTCTACTTAAAAACAGAAGGAAGGAAGACTCTGCGTTCTTGAGTCAGCGAGCGTGTGCACTGTCCAGTTCCTTTCTGAACATCTTTCATTCCCAAGTGCCACGTGAGTGTGCACCGTCTCCCAATCCATAGAGCCCAGGGAAATTAAGGGAAAAAGAAAAAAAAGATAATGACACGTTTCTGTTAATGAATATAG